TTTCACAAGTAACAAAGCCCACTTACTTGGAGTTTTGTTACCTATCTTCAGAGCCCCTTTGCTGGAGGTTCCCATCACTTTGCATGCTAGAAAGGGAAAGAAGGAAAGAGCAAACCTGGGACGCTCTGATGGTCCAGAATCAGAAGTGGTATAAGATAATTCTATATCTGTTCATGATTCAGAATTTGGTCACATGGTCACCCCTAACTCAGGAACACTGGGAAATGTAGTTAATTGCATATCCCAGAGAAGAAAACAGACTAGTCATTTTATAGAAAGTGTTTTCTTTTATTGTTTCACTTACTCTGTATGGATGCCTGTATGGACCTGATTAACCCTTTATGGGGATTAAGTGTTTAGTGTTCCGTGCACTCTTCTGTAAAGACTTAACATGATGGGTCATGATTGATCTATGTTGCAAAATGACAAGACATATGCCAGCTCTTTATCACTTAATGTATGAGAGAACAAGAGAAGTCTCAGATTTCAGAGGTGCCTTAGAAGCCCTGCAGACATCTCCATCATGAATTCCTTTTGTGGCACCTTCAGTAAAGGAGAGGTAGTATGTTTCCTTATCATGTCTCCAGTCTCTCAAAAGCCTCTATTCTAGGCAAATATTTGTATCCTCAGACCTATAACCATTCCACTCTTCTTATTAACTTCTTTGCTCTTCAAAATTTTGTCATTATCAGTATATTCAACACTTTTGGTTTGGGCATTTAAAGTCAAATGCAGGTCTGCAATTCCTCACTTGGGAGGTAAAGGTGGGGGGGTCAGGAGCTCAAGATCATCATTGTCTACAGGGAGAGTTTGAGGAAAGCCTCAGCTACATGATATCTTGTTTAATATATGAAGAAAATAGTTGAGTGTAATACTCCTTCAAAAGGCTGAGACTTTTCTCTTATCTGTTAATGTGTTTTCACCTCTGTCTAGACACAGTGTGAATTTGGTGATATTCAAGGCTTGTGGTAAAGGTAGAGAAGTAGGTAAGGAAAATAAATGCTCAAAGGAGACAAATGCGCTATATTGAATAGGCTATATTGAATAGGCTATATTGAATAGGCTCACAGACCAGTCAGGACGGTTAGCCAACATAGCTGAGGGTGACAGGGAAGAAGAGGTGACTTTGTGGTTGAGAACTGGAAAGTGTTATGAATTTACTTATCAGTGAATATGGAGGGGTTTCTAGATGAGAAAGTAGCAAGCTTGAGATACGTTGATAAGGGCCTGTCAAATTGTGACACAACAGTTGGATACTGGCTACCAAATACTCATAACTACCTGGAGCCTAAGGAGACCACCTTATTTGGAGGCAACATCCTTGAAGAATTTGAAGAAGCAAGGAAAAATATTCTTCTGGGACCTTCAGAGAGATCACAGCTACTGACAGATTGTATTGTAAGTGATTTAGTTTGCGGTTATCTAGTGTAGAAGCCTTTCAAATCTGATGCTGGGGATCTTATTCTAGTGCGAAGGGGTGGTGATAGATACACGTCCTATGAATTGTTTAGGTCTTTAACTGTTTCACTGGATGAAGTAGACCTCTCCAGGATTCCTATACAGGTTGATGGTGAATACCCATGCTCAACTGAATTCTTCTTGATAGTATGTCACATTGCTTCTATCCCAAATCTGCCTATTGTGTTTGCTTCCAAATTCATTCTGCCTCTTCTACTTGTAATTTTGCAATATGATTGTAATACATATTTAATGAGTAAATTATTAGTACGGAAGGAGTTATTTCTCTCAAAAATAACAAAATGCTTTTAGAAAGACTGGAAGATGATTAAAAACTACAAAAATAAAGGAAGCTTTGTAGTTACAGTGCTCAAGTGTCATAATGTTTTAGACATGTTAGAAAATTGAAACCATTCATTGTGGAGGAGGTATTCTGGGAGTGCTTTATACAAAAGAGCTTTGAGAACATTTAAGGAATTGCTGCTGGCTTATATACCAGAGATGGACACATGAGTCTGTGTTTGACATTTAAATAAACTATTTGTGATATAGTTTTCTGCTTGAATCACCTTTTGTACTCTTTCTCCTTTTGTTAGGTGACATTGCAAAAGAACCTTTCTAGTGCCGACTGGTAAAATGAACTTAGGTAGGATTACAAAACAAATTCCTCCTTAGGGCCCATGGGATCTTTCTTCCAAATATGATTACTATGGGACAGGTCTCTTTTTCGTTTGACACAGGGCTGTCTGACTTTAGACATGGAGTGTCAGTTCCCAGTGCTCTGAATTCTGGAGAGAAACTCGTGTTTCCTTTATAAACACTATCATAAATGATACATTATTTCCCAGGCCTGAGCTTTCTGTCTGACTCATGTTACAGAGGTTGTGATTGCAGAGTGAGAATTGGAGCATGGGAAAGAATCTTTTACCACCCCATATCACGGTCTTCATGGTGTGCTGCACCAAGACAAAGGAGCTAGATGTGAGCAGCGGTGATAGACACTGCTATCCCCCCTCCGCCATCCCCCTCCCTCTTCTCCTCTCCTCTTCTATCTCCTTCTCTCTCTCTCTCTCTCTCTCTCTCTCTCTCTCTCTCTCTCTCTGTCTGCCTGCCTGCCTGCCAGTCTGTCTGTCTCCCCACTTTAAATTTTGTGATGCTTGAGATCAAGTCCAAGGCTTTGTGTCTTCTACCCACGTGCTCCACCTCTGGGTTACACCCCAGTCCTGCTCTTTGTTTTCTCTCTTCTGCTTCCTTCTATTACTTCTTGACCATTTGCTTCAAATTCAAATTCTAATCTCTAATCAAAATGTTATCCAGTTATTCACTGGAGTAGTCTGCATGTCTATTTCTACTATATTTGGGTTTCTAAGTATTTATTGTTTGAATAGACATGGGTGTTTATGTAAGTTCTCTGAAAGCAAATCAATTGATTATTGGGGATACGACCAATAATTTGGAATTTGGAAAATGAGCCAAGTTTTAAGGAAACAGGCCAAGTGGTAGGATTACTTAACTTGAGTTTGAAATTTTGTGATGGCTAACTTATCATTGAATAATTTAAAAATTGTCCATCAGTTAGCATTTAATGTGAATGAATTACCACATGCCAGATCTGCACTGATAATATACAAATAGGAGAGATACCATCAGCATCTACAGCTTTTCTATTAGTGTCTTTCTTGTCTGAGAGAAAAACCTAGATGGTCAGGGATGGTAGTTTAAAGTATTAAAATAACTTTAGTATGTTAACTAGCTCATAAATGATCATATCAGAGAAGAAAATGATTGAAGTTCAGATTCCAATATTTATGGATTCCCTTTCCACATTTAAAATACCAAGATAACCACTCAGGAATATATAAAATGCTTGGACATGCCTTTGAGTTAGAGCAGAATGTTGTAAAGAAAATGATGGAGAGAAGACACAGATGTGACCACCATTCTCAGCTATGAAATACAGGTTCCATGACTTTCCAGTCTCATATCTTCCTGGGTGCTAATCAGCTGAGGTGATGCCTACTGCCTCCTGTCACTGTAAAATGCACATTTACTTTGAAATTTCAAGGCTGTTTGAAGGACTCAGTGTATCTTTTATAGACTTTCTGAGATACTTCATTACCCTCACCACACAGCATGGTATTTGAAGGGAAGTTTTGTAGTGGAGACATTGTATGATCCAATCTGCCTTCTTTCACCTCATAAGTGCTCCTGTTGGAGGACAGAGACAAGAAGAGGCCATGATTTACTTACTAATTTGAAAAAATAAAAGAAAGATGTGTCACTTCTTTTTTTAACTTTGCCTGTCTAAGGAACCAGATTAGTTTAATAAAGAGCTGACTGGCTAATAGCTAGGCAGGAGAGGTTAGACTGAACTTCTGGGCAGAGATAGGAACTCTGGGAAGAACAGAGGTGAATTTCACCAGTATATTTTGGAGGGAGGCAGACATACCTTATGAAGGGAAGGTAACAGGCTCCATGGTAGGTTTAGATTAAATATAAATGGGCTAATTTAAATTATAAGAGATTGTTGTGAACAAATCCCAGCTAAGGCCAAGCTTTCATAATTAGTAAAGAGTCTTTGTGCCATTATTTGGGAACTGGTGGTCCCAAAGAGAACGTCAGATAACCCGGGCTAGCATGATCAAGAAAGAAAGAAAATCCATCATGGAGCATATGAAGGTGTGCCATCAAACATAGGTCCCAGCACACAGAATAAGACACGCTTTATGTCTGTAGAGACTGTAGTCAGAGAATCAAACACAACAAAGAACGTATGAGGGGTCTTGATGTTGATGCAGGAAGAGTTGCGTATTGGCCAACTCCAATAGAGATCCAGTGAGAGTAGGGAGGGGAGAGCGTTGTTCCCTCAGAGAACATAGCACTAATCCACAGGTGAAAGATATGTAGGCGGATTCTACTAACAACTTATGTGTTCATCATTAGAAGGTGAACCTTAGAAAGGAGAGAAATGTTAGTACATATGTGAAGGTGTGTTGGAATCTGTACTGGTGGGAGGTGATTTCTGGCTTGCCTTTAGCTGTGTAAACTGAGACCCCTTCCAACTGACCCAACAGCTTGCTTCTACTATCTTTATCTTGTAGAAAACCAGCAAGCAGATTCATATCCTACAGCAAGCCACCCCCTCTGTCCCCACACCAACGGAAGGGAAAGGACGTTACAGTGAAAGAAGAGCAATTATTTCCATGGTTGTTACTACTCCCACTAAATAATTCTTGTTATCTGTGACAGAGTGTATGAGCTGAACTCAGGATAATGGAACAAAGTCCAAGAAAACCCAAGTCTTTACCAAACACCAGACTCTCAGTGGTTTCTTGAATAGGGCACACAGAAATGTAGTTTGCACAGAAGGTGGCAGTGACAACATTTGCTCCGAAGTGCTAAGCTGAGTTTTCCTTGGAGGCACTGTCTGTAAGCTGTGTGACTCCATGGCAACATTTACAAGACAGAAATGTGATCACGGAGAATTTTGCTGCCCTTGATGGTAACACGCTGGCAGTGATTGTAGCAGGACTTGCCAAGTACACATTGACCCTCTGAGTCACATTGGTTCCCATGGAGATTAACACCATCAACTGTGGGGACAGCAGCCCAGAAGTGCGATTGGTGTTAGACAGCAAGGAGAAAAACGGCAGCATGGTACTCTAGAAATGTAGCAATTGGGATGAAAAAGGAGTGTGGGGTGGCATAGCTCAGGAGAGAAAGTACTTTGTAATTGCATAGCAACCGATTCCTCTAGCTCTTCTTGCAAATGGCTGGGCAAAAGTGTGCTTCTTGGCAGATAGGCTCTGATCTACTTTTATTTATCTGTTTATATCCTGCAAACTTTCTTCTCTTCCCTGATAGCTTATATCAGCAGTGGACTCTGGGGCCACATAGTCCTAGCTCTTGCATTGTAAGAGTGAGTAATCAGGGACTTAGGAGTTTGAAGTACACAGATCACTTTGGTATACCTTGGTGGGTTTAAATTTCCTTTCTGGATTAAAAAATTATTAATAAATAAAACATGCCTTCAACTTCACCTTTTACGCAGTCATGTATGCTAATAGGGACCCAGGCTTTCTGAGAAGCAGTCTTTACCTTTGGAAATTGTACCGGGGTGTGTGGTACAATGCCCTGTCCTTGGCAACTAGGTCTACCTGCACCTGCTCTCATGAGTAGCAAAGCTCATCTTTTGGGTACCTGACTCTATATCTTCTTTCTCATTTGGAGAGATGAAAGAGCCTAGAGATGTATTCACTTTCCCAATTCTCCACATGTGCGTCATGCTCAGATCAGATGAATCAGGGATTATAAGGTGAGGGGCATTTTTTTCTGTCTCTTTCATATCAGCACTTGTGGAAAAATACCTATTAGTTGCTAAATAATCAGACAGAGATACAAAGAACTGGTTCCTAGAAAACTCAGACTAAATGGCCTTAAAAATAACAGCTGAAATGACAATCTATGATGCTGGGAGAGAAAGAAGATAATGATTTTCAAAGAAATGGCAAAGTAATTTTGGGGAAAATTAGCGTTAATGAGATATCTAGAGATGACAAACATGCTGCCACTCTTTTCAGTGTTGGTTGGTTGATTGCTTTATCCATGGAGAGTCAGCTTGTACAGAAGGAAGTGAACTGGATGGGGCGTGCTGCAGCCTCAGCTGAGCCATCAATTATGACTCATGGGCAGTTTACTGGGTCACAGTTTACTTGTCTCTAAAATGATTCCACATAGTTTCCAGGTATTGAGGGATAGTGGCCAGCATAGCATAAACATTCAGAAAATCGCAGGGAGGATAGTGACAGTGCTGTTGTTGGTTTTGTTGTTGTTATTGTTGCTATTGGTATTGTCATTGTTGTTGGTACTGGTATTACTAATATGACTGGTGTTTGTCTTATTGATATTGGTGTTATTGGTGTTATTGTTGATATGCCACTTATATCTTGTCATATGCATTTCCCGAGTCTATCAGTGGCCAGTGGGAGACCAAGAAGAGCTGAGATTCTTCCTTGACCTTGAAAGGAGGCTAAAGCTAATGTTTCAGCCCAAATTGATCTATCAGGAAGTGCTCTGACATGAAGGAAGCTCAGTTATTTTGTTCTAGTCAGACTTTCAATAGATTGGACACATCCCACATCAAGAAGGTGAATTCCCAGTCTTACTTTCACCTGGAGATACCCTTGCTAATACACCCAGAATGATATTTTGTCAAATACCTGGCCTCTTGTGGCATCACCATGTCAAGACACAAAAGTATTCATAAAAGTCATGATTCATAAAGGACCATGACCCCTTATTTCCAAATCCCGTGGTCCTGAATATGATGCTATAGTATAAGTGATTTGCACAACTTCCAGGCAGCTCAGTGTTATTTGAAGTGATCTGAAAGCAGAGACTTAATGCTGTAGGAATATGTGTTTCTTGTCTGTGAAATGTCTGTTCTGAGGGTGACACATAACAGTGCATGTGATGTACATAGACCACTGTCAACTTGGCACAGGACACATACTCAGCAACAATCATATATAAATGTATGTGCTAATAGAAAATTGAGGATTTAGGATGGTATCACATCTTAACATTTTTCATTGATAAATAGATTTGCTGTGGAAGTTGCCAGAAGTATCTTTAATTGATAGTATTTCTACAACTGCCAGATGAGCTTTAGAAAACTATTTTTCAGTTTTCCTTGAAAAGTGTGTGTGTGTGTGTGTTGTGTTCATGTGTTTAATAGGTGCTCAAACTGATCAAAGTGCCAAGAACAAGTAACTGTGAATGCTTAGCCATAGAAGAGTCTTCTCCCATAAAAGACGCTGGAAACGTGATGAAAGAGGAAGAATATGAGAACCATTGGATGGAGAGAGCTGTGGAGTGATGACCTCTGGATGGAATGCTATTCCACACAGCAGCTGTGGTGTTGCACAAGATCTGGACAACATCAAGTAAGCCACAATTCCAATATGGATGGGCAGGGGCACCCAGGCCCCACCCCTACCTGAGGATCTATTGACAGTTGATGGCTGCTGAGAGAGAGCATCACTCTCTTTTGGGGATGTGTATATTTGTAGATTGAGCATGCCCCAGTGCATGACCCCACATATATGTGCATATGTGCAGTGCTAATTAGACTCAGAGGTTATAAAGAACAATAAATTAAAAAAAAAGAGTACATGAATTTGGGAGCGAAACAGGGTGAGGGGCACTAGGGGGAGTTAGAGGGAGGCAGTGATGGATATGATCAAAATAATATAAATGTATAAAAATTTCAAAGAATAACACATCTCCTTTACTAATAAACACTGATGCCACCTTCTGCCCACTAGATGGCATAGTGCTCCTGGAGCTGGCTGCAATTTCAGTGACCTTGAGGGAATCAGGAATTTTGACCAACATCCAATCATCTCATCTCCCTGCAGAGAGCACCAAGTCCAATACTTCTATGCAGTCAAGGTCATGTCTCCAGTCCCTGCTCATGGTTTTATAGAAACTGCACAGGAGCTAAAGCCACTGTTGCTTTTAATTACTCCTCTAGTATTTTACCCCAATCTAAAATTGACCTTTCAAGGACATACTTTGTTTATTGCGTCTTACAGTTGAAGGTTTACATTAGTGAGAAATACAATAGTGTAGCGACTCTTTAGATAGGCAGGCTTTTTGAGAAGGCACAAAAAAACAAGTATTTTTGTCCATTTCCTGAAGGCAGCTTGGACCAGACTGCATTAGAGCACACTATCCAGGAGGAGGTTTCAGCGTACTTTGTCCCCACCCTGTGTATTCCAGGTGACAAGGACTTTCCTAGGACCTGCCTCAGTCTTAGCTTCTTGTCCCTGCCCACCACTTATCTTCTTGTCATCATTCAGCTGCTGTTCAGCCCTGGAGCACCCTTCTTAGTAGCGATATTCATCTAGAAATATAGCTTTCCAACACATCATTTTGAGGAAGTATTAGCCTGATGAAGTAGCACATTTATTCCAAGTACAGATCTCAGAGACTGAGGAATAGGCCTTTTTGCACAAAGACTCTCATCCGTTAACTTTTAGAATGGTCTATAATATATTTGCAGGAATTTTTATTATGGGAAAATTATTTATAAGACTAATGAATCCAATTAAAATGACCATGTGTACACTTGCGCCCATTGGTCAACCTCCCCAGTGCATTCCCAGATCTTCTCACAGCGCTTTGGTGCCCAGCCCTCCGCCTCTCTGCAGCGCTCTGGTCAGGTGGGTCCTCGTCCCTCTGTGACACCGCCTTCAGGTGGAGGCGGCAGATAGTAAAGAGCCAGTGGAAACGGAATGGCAGAAGTGGGCTTTCTGGTACAAGTTGGTGTTGGTTCCTTTATGGTAAAAGGCCTGGCTGGCTCTCCTGCCTCTCCTGTGCACCATCTGGTTCCAGCATTCTGCCTGCTAGCTCACTGGTGCACATCTAAACTGTTTTATTGCACATTTGGCCAACTGTCTGCTTTCTGTGTCTTTAGAGTGCTCTGCAATATTACTCTAGAATCCAACTTGGAATTGGCACCTGTTTTGCTAACTCGCTGGTTACAGCAACAATTAATAATAAAACCCAGACCCTTTCACCCACAGAGGATTGTAACACTAAAACCGCTACTCACAGAAACAGCTAATCTGTCACTTTGGAGATTGTTTTGGGGAGGGGGTGTCATCCTCTCCTCCACAGCAGAGAATGAGTGCTCCTTCCTCGTGTTTACACAAGCAGCCCTCCAGCCTGGTCTCCTCAGCATCACAGAGACTTGCTAGAAATGAGGTGATTGTACTTTTCTGTTGAAGTTTTGCCTAGATTTCTCATTCTCTACCCCTTTCGTAACGTTGTGTCAGGCCCCTAATAACAGTGGGTGACACTGTAGCACTTCAGAGATTTCCTTGATTCTTTTACATCTCCCCACCTAAAATGTGGACATCTGTATGAACAGGAGTCTGGTATCTTCGTTTCCCACAATAGACCAGTGATGGAACATAAGGCTATGTATTGGTGACTCCCATCCCACCCCCACAAGTGATTACAGAATGATTTCATGGTGAGCCTGAGTCCCAAAGTCCATATTTAAGATAAAATTACAAACAGGTGAAAAGAAAATTAGTACTCTTTGTGGAACTCCTACTATGTACCAGGCCTCCAGACACAGTAGCTCTGTTTCTTCAGTTTTGACAGGATGATCTTACTCCTTAATTTCATGGATGAGAAAGGCATGGTTAAGTGGCTGACCTTGAGGTATACAGAAATGTTGTCATGGCCTCTGTTTGCCTCAGAGTTGGTGTTTGTTTTATCATTTCAGGATACTTTATTATTGCCCTATCCCTGTATTTTCTCTGAGGGTATTATTAATGTTTACAACATGAGCACAGTGACACTTAGACAAATGCAGCGTATACTTGTTTCTATCCTGAGGGAGAAAAAATCTTTTTGAATAAATTAATAAAGTGATTATGGCATCCTCAAGTATGTTTGAAATTGTAAAATAACTTGTAGGTTGGTCCAGTGAAAAGCCCCAAGTTTCTAAGACAAGAACAATTGCCTGAACAATCCAGAGATTCAGACATGCCTTAAGCCAAGGCCTGATTTTTTGTTGGTTCTTGAGACAGAGAATAACTGAATTGTCTTATCTGAAGCAATGGGAGACATCAAGGCACGGGCATTTCTGTTATGACATACATCTAGAGAAGTGCAATACCCTGGATGGACAGAGAGGTGTCCCTCACATACCACGAGTGTTTAAGCATGGCAAAAAGGCATGGAAGAGCCACACTAATGATCCTTGGTGAGCATCTGGTATCAGCAGGAGGTGCCAGGACCTTCCCCACAGTGATGGTGGCACACAGAAGAAAGGCTAGTGCCCAGAAAAGGTGGTGGCCTTGGACAGACATAGAAGCCACCAGTCAGTGATCCCTTAGAGATCTGTGCCTGGCAGAAGAAGCAGTCACATTCAGAAGATACAAGAGTCACCTGACAAACAGGTGTTTTGCACTACCAAGAGTCAGTTCTGGAGACTCAAAGGGCTGCGGGGATACTTTTGTAGGGTGCGTTCTAGCAAGTAGGCATGTGACAGAATTTTCACTCATGGCTGGGTGTAGGTTGCTGTTGGACATGAATTATCTATTTCTGCTTCACTGACTAGCTGTAAGGGTTGAATGAGATTGTCTGTGTGGAAAACCTTCCCAGTGCTGGGATTATGGTTGTGATCAAAAGTGTTAACCTCTTTGTCCCTTCCTTAATCTCTGTGATGGAGACTGTGGGAAAGCAAACACTGTTGTAATCTAAAGCACACATTTCAGGAAGAGCACAATTCCGGATATGTCCCAACAGGAATATTAGATTACAGGCCCACCTTGGTATCTTCTACATTGGATCAGTCCATAATGCTTATGCTAAATGTTTGAGTTCTCTGTATGCATAAAGTGTTTAACCCTGTTAAGTGTGTGATTTTACTGTCTCAATTTTATACGTGAGGAAAAGTGGAGCTAAAAGGTTAGCTAACTCTGCAAGGTTGCATAGCAAGTGACAGCTAGAATTCATATTTAACAGGGCCATATGCATGATCCCTGCTCCTGTCATTTCTCTAGTTCTAGGATGTTCAGGTAATAAAACAAATATTGACTCTGTTTTTTCCAGGGATGGCAAATGACTAAGTCCTGGGGGCACACTGGTCACTACAGCCTAGGGCAATGCAGTGTAATGCCTGACAAACAGCCACACAAAGCAATCCTAGATTGTTCCAAGATGAGAGTCTTTTCTCAACAAGGCAGTCCATGAAAGTACCCTAACTAGAAAGGCTAGAGTACAGAAAGGGTTGGAAGGCTCATTTTTTGAGCCTTTTATTTATCTAAAAGACACAGTTATGGGATAAATTTGTAGGTAGTTTCAAACTCAAAGATTTCCCTTTATGGGCACCAGTAGGAGACAGTTTTCTCAGAGAAGAGTGCCTGAAAACACTGCTTTCTTGAGCAGGAGGTATCACCTTATTTTATGGATAGTGCATTTCTGATAATAAACCAAGTGTTTTCTTTTCTTTTCTTTTGTGTCAAATACTGAAGAGCTAAGAGCAGTCTTGGTTTTATAATTGGGTGCAATCTCTTTGTGAGATGATTTCCTCCTGGTCTCACCTTTTAAAATCCTTGCCACTCTTATTTCCCTGGTATGTTTATATGTTAATGTCTATCTGCATACATCTTCACTAGCGGACTCAAATCCTTGGTAGTGTACACAGTGAGTTTGGAGCTACATTCCCTTTGAGGAGTATCAAGGGGACCCTGTGCAATCCTAGTCCGTTCTGCAAGATGACAATAGGCTGTGCACCAGTCAGTGACACAATGTTTCCTGGCTAGTTGGAAAGGAGAATATTTTGTAGGAAAGTGTTGCTGTGGTGATATCTTGTTTGTACCAATAAAACAGTGTCTGAAGATCAGAGGGTGGAGCTTGCCACTAGCTAGAAGACAGACAGGAAGTGAGATGGCTGGGTGGAGACAGGGAGTGAGGTGACTGGGCAGAGAAAGGATTATAGGAGGAAGGAAACAGGAACGCCATCTCTTTACATCTAGGAAGTTGTCAAGGTATGATATAACTGTGGATTGATCCTTCACCTCTCTGATCTTCCAGCTTTTGTCCCTGTATCTGACTCTGGGTTTTTATTATTTAGACCTATTAGAACTTGTGTTACACATTGCGGTTCTTGTGGGTGGTGGATTGATTGAATGATGACACTACAGCCATAACAACCATCATCTTGGCAGATTTATATTGAATTTGATCCATTGAAGGTCGGCTGGCGTTTGATAAAGCAGAAAGGGAGAGCTTATCTCTTGGTAGGGCAGACAGGGAAGTATATTTACAAGAAAGCAGGTGTCCCTATCCTGGAGTAAAGATCAGGCTGCCTGGGTAAAATCCCCCAGGTCATGTCTGTTCTCTTTAGATGACATGAGGTACCACATTCAACAGCTGGTGGATGTCGGACTCAGCATCTATCTCCCCCTGAAGAGAAAAGGAGCATATGGAAAATGGCTCTAGGAGATTACTTAGTCTTCACTACAACCTTAAAAGATCGCCATGTCTGATATGCTTCTTCAGAATATGGAGACAATAAAATTCTGGGAGGGTAAGAATTCTTCTCAGGTCACAGAGGGGCCAGGATTTGAAATCAGGAGGGTCTTATCCTGAATGTGATCACTGAGCTGCCCGCTAACAAGAAATACAGTACTCCAACAGCAAGCAAGATGGTGAGATACACCACCTTAACTTTGGGAGCCAGAAATGAAGAGGAAAACCAGCCATTCTGGGCTGGAGGATCACCAGTGTAGCCCTGTCCTATGGTGTGAGTTGTAAAGGAAGGTGACAAATCTCTTTGACTCCTGGACTCATTGTCAACCTCAAAGGGTCTTTGAGAATGCTTGTGTATTGATTGGCTGCAGTTGTATGTGTGGTATGTTGTGATCAAAAGACAAGGTACCAACAGACCACAGCTGCTGTTAGTGCAGCCAGAGGACAGCATGCTGAAACAAAAAATATACTTGCTTGTCATTTATCTTGGAGGAAATGGCCCTCACTCTGGGTCGCCTTCTGACTGGATTAGAAACACATCAATCTAGGGAATGGATAGGACGTGACACATTTTCTGATTTGGCATTAATAATTCAAGAGTTCAGGCTATGGGGTATTTTAAAACTCTACAGTGTGCAAAAAGTCTACAGTTTTCTTTCCTAAAAATGCAGCATAGGTACTGCAATCCATCTGAGAAAGCATGAAGCTTAACTACTATCATTGACCTTGGCCTCTCTGAATCCTCTTTGGTCACTGTGGAGAAAAGAGAGCCAGCATCATCCATTCTGGATTAGAGTGGTCTTGGCCAGACTTAGAGGGCACCTTGTTGTGCTGGTGGTCCCAATTCACCACATGGGGTGAGGAAAACCTCTATGTGTCAGGGGGTACAGGGACTAGATAAACAATGCAAGCAGTGTGTTTACAGATATGCAAATGAGCATGCAAATTAGACTCCTGTCAGCTTCATTTAGAATGTAATTTAAAATTAATTAAAAATTAAGAGGTAAATTAGAAGCTAACATTCAACACCATATGGGAAAATATACATATTTATCAGAATGGCATATATGTATACAACATGGGCGGGAGCTAATTGTGATGTGTGTGATGCTCCTCCATTTTGAAATTGCACAAAACCAAGATAGGGAGATATGATATAGTGTAAAGACTAGTTTTTTAGCATGCTAAGAATTAAACTTCCTTTCATTTTAAGGATTAAATAGGTGCATTTCCTATGCATTATATTCTTGGCAAATGTATACCAAAGGACACAGTTTTACAAGTGGAAAGTGAAATGATAGATCAGGTGGAGTTTACCTCCATATGCTATAAAATATTTGTGAACCTCATTTTTCTCAAATGGGGTCACTGAGCACATTCACCCCAGCAGTCCTTTTGCATATTGTTAATATGCGATCTATACTTGCAAAGTAATGATTTCCTTCTCTCAGCCGCCAAGGAGTTCCGGGTGATTAATGAGTTAATGGCTGCATCCACACAAGGCCAAAACAACTCATTGAAAAGTGAAAAATTCAATCACTCCACCGACTGTTTTGTCTACAAAACAACCAAACAACCACCATGATTGATTTTCTTTTTGCTGAATTGATTGTTAGTTCATTGAATTAACCAATTGTTTGATACAACTAGGGTGCAGCCAGACTCCTTTCATGAATGTCATAAAACATTTCTTTTGGGGAATGTTTATAGCTGACTGAGGTATTTCTACACTAACCTTTTCTCCATCTCTGAAAATACTTGCAAACAGAGATTCAACATAGATTGCCCACATGAGAAAATTAGCTACTCCATACTTTCATTTTCTTGGACAAAGTATTTAATACTAGATTTTAATTACACTTATTCTTTTGAGTGTTGCTATGTAGCCCTGGATGATATAATCTTGTACAATCCAGGCTGGTTTTGAACTCATGACAATCATCCTATCTCTGGCTTCTGAGTGCTGGGATTCCAGGGTGAGTCCCCATGCCCAGATTGTGGTGATATATTGTTTATGATTTATTAAAGTCACTGGAGATCAAAATAGCAAAGCAGCCATACTAGTTAGCTGTAGAAGCCAGGCAGTGGTACACAACTTTAATCCTAGGACTTGAGACAAAGGCAGATGAGTTTCTGTGAGTTCAAGACCACCCAGAGCTACATGAGATTGAATCAATCTAAAAGAGTAACAGAGCTCACACCTTTAATCTCAGGACTCATGAGAGGTATTTAAGACAAGAACAGGGTCTCAGAGCTGGCATTCATTCTCCAGCTACCCTGAGGAGAGGTAGCAGTCCCAGGCTTGGTGAGAGCTGGTGAAGACAGGATTAACCCTTTCAGTCTGAGGTAGGGGTAGGAGATAGTGACTTGGCTGCCTTGCTTCTCTGGTCTTCAGCTTGAAGCATGAACCCCAATATCCATCTCCAGGTCTTTTATTTTTCATGTTACACCAAATCATATATTTTCATATCTTATGTACACAGTATCTTTAAAATTATAAGCAGTGCAAAATATACATATGTATATAATACATTAATGTACTGGTGAAGAATTTAGAGACCCAAGTTCTAAAATCAACCAGGACAACATGACCACAGAGTAGACACATTACAGAGAAAGACAGAAGAAAGGAATGCTAGTGATAACCAAAGCCAACAAGTAAACTCTCACGAAGAGTAAAAGCTACAGAAGACAATGATCCCATCATTGAATCTGAAGCTTGGCAATGTGCTGTCAGAGCTGGGATGGTCAGTGTGCGATTGGTGCAGCCAGGCTTGGAACTAAAGCAAAGGGCTTCAAGGAAAGGGAACAACTTACTCTTGGCTGATTTACACACACAGCTCTCCTAATGCAAGGAAACATTCTGAATTAAACCTGGTCTTTGTGTTTGTTTTTGCTAGCTTTGATTGCTTCAGTTTGAAAAATGTTAGCAGACTGGCTAACACGAGGAACCCGATCTGTGAAAACACATGCTTTTCTTCTTACTCACCCAGTTCAGGGGTGGCATGCAGGTGTGCAAGGGGAAAGAGGAAAAATAAATCCCAGTACTATTAGCCTCGTGTGAATAGAAGACTCATGTGTGAAAGGATGGAATGAATGGTCACTGGTGTATTTGACTGAAATAAGCCGTGGTGATCCAGTCCTCTTCATTTATAGTTATATCTGTTAAAGCAGAAAGGAGGCCGCGATCCACTGAAGGTAATTTACTCTTTTCAGGCAGGAGACCAAGATATTTCTAGATCCCTTGACCTCCACCCACTCCCTATGTAGAAAAGGAAAAAAAAAAGGTGAAGATGGGAAGAAAAGGTGTGAATCTGTTTGAAAATCTGCATTTGAATAGGGATTGCAGTGCAGAGGCTGAGATCAAAGAACATTAAGCCCTTTCTTGGGTTGCAAATATTAAATGTGAGCCAAAGGTCTTAGGGTATCAGTGGAGTGGATGGTCCTGAAGACTGATTTAGGAGAGAAGGAAACTAGGAAGGCAGAAGCCAGAGATCTTCTTGATGAGAACAGTTTCCGAATTTGGACTTTGTGTTGCTGCTGGAGACAGTCAAACCTGCAGGACAAAGAGCTAGAGGATAAACAAAAGCGAGTGCCCGGAGTGCTGGGAGCATTATAGCACTCAGGGGAAAGTGAAGCAGAGATGAGCCCTTCGCAGGTGAAGCCAGACGATGGGAGAAAGCTCAGGTCGGGTGCAGACATGGTAGGATTTCCGGCAGACAGGAGGCAAAAGGTCAGATGCGCATTTGACTTAAATGCATTTTCACAGAGTGTCTGCATAACTCTGCTGCCTCTTCGGGAACACTGACAGCTTGTCAGCAGTCACCAGGCTTCTGTTGAGGCGGGTTACATTCATATGCAGGCGGCATGGCTGAAGTGTTTGCCCACCATCTGCCTCCACCAAGGCAAATAAAACAAGGCAGGCATGGCTTATTTCAAGGAAGAGCTTCTTTTAATAGTAGAATTCAACCTCGGGACATAGGTTCCTAGGCTCTTAGAGTCCTAAATTTTTACCGGATTCTAATATGGTTCTATAGGGGTTGGATGAAGAGTGAAATCAGTGAAGACAGGCTGGGTGGGGAGCTGAAGACTGGGATGTATTCTGTTGTTCGGGTGGATTTTATGTTCCCAAGAACACAGGAAGGGCTAAGGTAGGAGAGAGAAAAGTGAGGTGGTTGGTTGTGTATGCCCCTTCTTTTATTTTAATTAATTAATTAATCAACTAATTAATTTCTCTGTGTGTGAGAATATGAAGGCATATAAGGCACCCAGTAAGGAGTGTGGATTTCTGCTCTGAGGTTCCGGGAGGCATTGGGCCTTCCCAGTCCAGGTGGCTACAGAGTTAAAAGGGAAACAGCTGTGTGTGACAGGAGACAGTGTAGCTAGATCTTGAAGGACTCTGATTTCCAGGCTCTGAGTTTCTGTTAACAAGGGGAATGCGTCCACAGCCAGCAGAGAGTGTTGATCCCTCCCTTCAGGACCACCATGGCATCCTTCACTGAGACCCATCACAGCTAAGCAGGGAGAGAAGAAAGCTCTTTGAAAGGCAGAACATTTTTACTCAGGAGAGACTGGCTGTTCCCTAGAGCGACTGTTTAAATTATTGGATCAAACTAAATTTAAAGCAGGTTAGACGTTTAGTTAATTTATTTTTCTCTAACCAGCAGGTAGAAGCTCGGCTAACACAAGATTATAGACAAAATAAAGCACTACGTTTTCTTGGATAAAATGTCTCTAGGCACTTTCACACCCTGCTGGTATTTCCAGGATATGCAGAAAGGACCCCTAAGAAGAGCTTCTGTCCATGTCATGGATTCAAGATGGGCAGACTGTGCTGGAATACTCTGGTCTCAAGTCTACATACACAGAACAACATGACCAAATACACAATTGAAAACACAATTGAAAAAGAAAAAAAAAGAGCCATTGCATTCAACAAGGCAATTGTTTTATTGCTCAATAAACCGTAATATTTGGATTGATTGTATTTTCTTTGGCCTTTATATTGGAGTCTGTATTTACAGTGCTGATCTGAGTGAAAATTTTCTCTCAGAGACCATCCATTGTCTCCTAAGGAGTTGTATTTAAGACATTGTTTTATTTGGAAAGATTCAGGGTACGTTTAAGTGCGGGATGCCTTGGGCTAGAGGTAAGTATAGTCCCACCGAGCAAATACTGAGGGTACCTCCATTACAGGTAGGGCATAGAATGGGTACTAAAGGTCAGCAGGTACATGGTGAGCTCTTTAATACTATTGTGTTATGGGGTAGGTGGATAATGGAGTTGGTGTGAGACAGGAAGGCCGGGAAACACTGTTAAAAATTAAGGATAGAGTCAGGAGGGTGCAGACTCAGAAGCTGTGTGATTTAAGAACACCTATGTCTTGGGAGGTTTAAGGCCTGACTGCTGGTCTTGGGAGACCCAGGCTGCTTTATGACTGAGGCCAAACATGACCTGTAGAACTTGCAGGGTTTTCTAGAGACCTGTGATGTGGGATTGGGAACCCCAGGACTCTGCTGTTTGGAGTGCTGTGTTTATGCCCTGTGGTCCACTAGCCATCGTACAGAGACCACAGACAACTCACTGTCGCTGAGCAGAGGACCAAAGGAAACTCAGGGAGACTCAGTGAAAATGGAGGGCAGGTGCTAAGGAGCCCTGAAACGCCTGCCCACAGATGAGCGGAGAAGACAGGTGTCGAAAGCTCAAAATAGCCACCTTGCCTGCTTTGTCTGTGAGGTTCAAGCTCTCCCGGGTATCTTGCAAAGCTCTCTGTAGACTGGTATTTTTAATTTGTTATGTGAGTGTAACACCTGTGTTGGTTCATTCTTACACAAATTCCTGTGGTAATTAGTTTCATAGAATTTTGCCACGTTGGCATATTTCCCCTGTTCCCTTCCCTCTTGGGAGTATCAGAACTGGAAGACAGGTACTCTTATCGCAGAGTTATATTAATAAATTTAATTAACATAAAACAACATTAATTCAGCTGCTGGCACCTGAGGCTGGAGAACTTTCTCTGGCTTCACAGCACCCCATTGCTGATGGGTGTCTGCCAGCAAGCATTTGTGCTCTTTTAAGCTGGATTGATGACAGTGATCTCCACATAAGTGAAATTGAGACATACAGTTCTGTGAGCTTGATCAAATGCATCCAGTTGTATAATCATCACAGTACAGATGGAGATTTTTATTGTCTAGAATGTTCTGTTGTGCACTTTTATAGTCTATGTCCTTTTCCACTTTTAGCTCCCAGCAATCACTGATTCTTGTCACCAATATTTGGTCATTTAAAAAATATCGCATCAGTAGATGCAGGCAGCATAATTCCTGGTGAATGTGACCTCCCTCACCCAGTGTTATCCACTTTCCAGACTTTCCCAAGTTATTGCTTTATCATTTTATTGTTGTAGCCTCCATTGTATAGATGTGCTTGGGCTTGTTCATACACATCCTAGCTGATAAACATATGTGAATTGTTACCACTGTCTGGTAGTTATGGCCAGGTTCACCTATAACAAATACTTGCATAGCCAAATATATCCATTTCTCTTGGTAAGTTGTAAGCAGGGTGACTGTGTCACACAGCCATTGGCTGCATATGACCTATATAGAAACTTCCAAACGCTTTGCCTTCTACCAGCAATGGGCAAGAGTTGATCCAAATTCTCACTATTTAATACATTATATACTTTTATAGGGGTTTTCACAAATGGATTCTGATGTATATTTTTATGCATCTATTTGCTACCTGTATTTTTTCTGTGGGGAATCTATGGTATAGGCATACAGAGTAATGGTACAGAAGAGAATTTGATACAGCCACTACACATGTGGGCAAATGACTGTCCACAATAATGTCTTAATTGGGTGGCAAAGGAATAGTTTTTCCCAAAGGAGACTGAAATGCTTCAACACTGATGCTCTAAAAACAAAACAAGCCCTAGGTGAGATCCACATACAACAAAAATAATTAGCTCAGAGTGACCTAAATGCATAACCTAGAGCTATACAAACTTGAGAAGCAAACACAGAGATCATTGTGGTGTAGATTTAGCAAAGCATTCTTATGTAATAGAAAAACCACAGATCACCATGCAAACATTACTCAACTGAACTTGTACAAGTTTATAAACGTCTGTCTTTTGAGAGGCACTATTTTTGTGTGTGTACGAATGTGTATGTGTTCACATGTGTTCATGTGGAGACACATGTTAACATTTGGTGTCTTCCTCAATTATACCCCACTTTATTTACTATCATGTATGTATGTATATATGTATGTATCTATCATCTGTCATAATATATCATCTATCATCTATTTATATATGTAATAATTCATCCATCTATCTATCTTTGTGTATGTGTGTCTGTGCGTTGTGTCCATTTTCATATATGTGTTCACAAATGTGTCAGTGAATGTGGAGGCCAGAGAATGATGCCAGATATAGTCCTCAATCACCCTCTATTTCATGTCTGAAACTCATTTGGCTGGACTGGCTGGTAGTAAACTTCAAGGATTTTCCTATCTCTATTTCCCCAGTGTTGGGATTACAGGCACTCTGTTGCACTTAGCTTCTTCTGTGGATACTGGTGATCCACACTCGAGCTCTCACGCTTGAGCAGCAACAGCTTTCCTGATTGAAGCCATCTCCTAAGCCCTGACCCAAAAGGCACTATTAATAGTGTTTGAAGATCATGTCAAAATGAATTATGGACCATGTGTATATATAGGTATTGGCGAAGTACTTATTTGCTAAAAGACTTATGTCTAGAATATACAGAGCATGACGTCAACTGAATTTAAAAGAAAACAGCGTGGTAAAATGAGTGACAGATTTGACCCAACTTCACATGATGTTTCTTTTGGGGTTAATAATGGTGAACAGCATGCAGCTTTTAACAACATGACACTGTTCTCTGGGATCTGCAGACCCCCTGAGTTATCACCACCCACCTGTCTGGGTGTTCCTCTGCACCCCACCTTGGGCTTTAAGACATTCTCATCATCACATGCCTCCAAACATTACCTCTCCTGGTCTTCTTTTTTCTTGCAGGCATCGGTCTCCTTCTCTCTTCTGTTTTTTTTTTATTCATCCATAGTTTTCCTCTAGTAGAAAGAGTGATAGCTTTGATACTAATTCATGTGTGTCATACTAACAAGGGGCCTCTTTCTTATTGTGAATCCTTTGGTATAGACAGGGAAGAGCTTTATTTTGGGGGTCGGGGATGAGTGTAACACAGTGTGAGAAGACAAGGTGTTCCTAATGTACCAGAGGACTGACGAGGTGCAGAACCAAGATGTCTAGACAGGACTCTGGCAACAGGTGTTTGAGGGACTATGAATGGAGGCTTAACACCCCCATGTGTCCCAGAGAATGGAATGGAACAGAACTGGCAAAGGGCCTAATACTTGTGGATGTGATGTTTCCATTTAGCAGTGTGAGACAAAGCCATAAGAACCTGAATGGGGTGATTTTGTTGTGAGGAGAGAGAAAGTGAAGAGGGAGGTAGGGAGAAAGTGATACCAGGAAGGGTGATAAAGAGATTGGCCAGGTCAGGGAAAGGCGAATGGATGCTTTATGTGGTCTGAGGGTGGGATCTGAAGACAGAATACAGATGTCTTACAGTCTGAGTTGCTTGGGCCAGCATGGAGAGAGGAGGGCAGCAGAGACTCAAGTGAAAAGTTTTTACTGCAACCCAGAATGATGCCATGCCCCTATAGAATGCAGTGTGTTTCTCCTTTGGACACACCTTGCAATCTGTGCTGGACCACAGCTCCTGTAACAGGCTTGGACAGGAAGACAAAAGGAAGTTGCGGGAGAGGCCGGAAGCTGCCCTGGAGCCTTCCTGTTTGCTGTGCCTCCCTTCTGAGGGCAAGAGGGTGGTGGTGTCACAGTTGATGGCGGTTCCACACTTAAAACACAGTAACTCCTAAGATTAGTTGCTCAGAATCAGGGTTTCTCGTTCAGCCTTTTAATGCAGAACTGCCAGGGCTGTCTTTTCACCCTGCTGCCTCAGAACGAGAGCCAGGAAAAGAGTTCCAGAGTTGACTGTAATATGTGTGGGCTTGCTGAGTAAAGAGAGAGCCCTGGACTTTGTAAAAATCATCCGCTTCACATAGGTTAAAGGTGTGTGCGAGGGAGAGATCACGGTGTGAGCTCAAACAGGGACACAGACTCCCCAGCACTGGCTTCAAAGTGCGCCCAGCAACCCACTTGCTTGTCCACCCAGAGTAGCTGTAGAGTTTTCTCCTTAGAAATTAGATTTGTCCCCAGTCTATAGTATTCACTGGCTTGTCACTGTAGTCTATAGTAGAGGTTCTTTTTCTTCTATATTTAATTCTTATTTGCTTTTAGTAGTGAATTACAGAGAGGTGTGTGTATGTACATATATGTGTGTGTGTTGTATGTGTGAATGAGTATGTGTGTGTATGTGAATATCTGTGTGTGTTGTGTGATGTATTGTTGTTAGGAAGTTTGGTGACCCATTCCTGAACTACACAATGTAGGCTCTAAACTCTTTTGCTTTAGAACCTCTTCCTAAAATACCTTAAGTTTGCATTGATCTGCTAACACTCACATTTCTGGGATCTGTTAACTAAGGAAATGCATAAATATACCATGACTTTAGTGTGTTGGTAAAGAGAGGGGGTGAAGAGGAAGAGAGTTGGTCATGGGGGAAAAGGAAGTTGAGGGGGTGGGGGTAGAATAGGGGGAAGAGGGAATCATAGGATTGAATACAGATCAGGCACCAGAGCGACCTCAAGTGATCTAAAGGGATAACACCAATTGGCAAGCTAAGCAATAGTGGAGAGACCACCTCGAATGCCCATTCCTGATAATGAACTTGATGTCTATAACCATCCGGGAGCCTTCATCCTGTGACTGATGGAAGCAGAGGCAAACACACAATTAATCACTGAACTGAACCCAAGGAACCCAGTGACAGAGAGAGAGGAGTGATGAGCAAATTGGCAAAG